AAAAAAAAAAAAAAAAAAAAAAAAAAAAAAAAAAAAAAAAAAAAAAAAAAAAAAAAAAAAAAAAAAAAAAAAAAAAAAAAAAAAAATCTAAACCAAATCTAGAAAAAAACTAAGAACAACGAATATCTAAGAGAAGAAAAGAAAAAAAAAAAACGAACTTACCTTCTTGCAGAAACGGCCGCCCGTTTCGTCAGGCGCTGTCAAGTGCATTGGGGTTGAAACGCCCCAGGCACTTCTTTACGCGCCACGTGGGGCTTTCACTTCTTAGTGTAGTTTTAGTTTTAAGTTTTTTTTTTTTTTTTTTTTTTTTTTGCACTTCGTTGGCCTAGCCAACGGTCACGTCGGGGTCACAGTACCACCACGAACTGTTGAAATACAGATCCAAGTTCGATCCCTGATGGGATCAAATAAAAATTTGGACTATTTCTCGATTTATGCGTGTCATCTTTGCGCAGGGGCCATGCTAATCTCGGCGCGGCAGATCTCAGCCGCGAGATTTTGATGATCGCACGACTGAGATCGGCCGCGCCCGTTTGCCTTGGGCCGCTCCAAAAGGAGCTTTGCCCAGTAGGCCAGCACGTCAGAATCGATCCCGATATGTTCCCGGGTGAGAGTTGTCTGCTATAACCTACTGGGCTAGCTCCTATCACAACAGTGGTAAGAGCAACTTTTCTATATGAAGAGCTTGCCCAGCCAGCTAGCCCCGTGCCGCGGCCTTGCAGGCTCTGCCTGCCCGTAGACTTACAGGCCCGGTCTGCCTGCGGCCCTGCAAACCTCGCCTGCTTGTGGCCTTGCATGCGCGGGTGGCCGGGCGACCTCGGTATTGGCCTAGCAGCCCCCTGGCTCGGTGTCAACCCCTGCGGCCCAGAAGAAAAGCTTCTTACTCCTCCCGTGCCGCGGTCCCATACCCGGCACACTTCTCTTTTTTTGCCTACCTAGGCCCTGAATCGCGCGGCTGCTAAGCCGCGCGACATCTTTTAGGTAGGATAAGTCTGGCCTTAGTCTTTCTACGACCGCTCATCTTTGCGGCCTTGTCGGGACCTGCGGACGACAGGTCATACTGCCGATTCCCGCTGTTCCGAGCGAACAACAATGTCAGACTTTAGGTTTCTCAGTTATGGGGTTGGTCTGGATAATTTTTGGCAAAGTCAACCTTTTCAAGTGTCCCAATCCAAAAAAAGGTCGGGCAATGTCTGCCCTTAAAAACCTTGGGCAGAAACTCTCACAGGGGTTTCAGTCCCGACACAGTCTGCACCACCCAGTCATTATCATCGAGGCGGGGGCCCAATTTCAAGATTCTGATCCATTCTAAAGGGATTGAATCTTGAAGTTCTTGCAGCCCTTGGGCCATGTTTAAGAGCTGGCCAGTTCTGGCCTTGAGATATTCCAATGAGTGTCATGAGCGAGCAAGGCTATCCCATATGTCCCCAACTTTGTAAATACCCTTCTTCACCCAGCGTTTCCACTTAGAGTTCCCTTTGAGATAAAGGGGTAAACCAGTATGATCCACAATCTGTGAATGGCCAAACAAAGGTTGGCGCCAAATTTCCTTTCATTTGAGTGGTGTGGGCGTCTGGGTCGGACCCCTTTCTCTCCATAGAGATATCATGGTTGTCCAGAGCGGGTCCACCTTGAGGTCTCACTTGGCGAGTCCTGCAGGGGGGCCATCTGTATCTAAGTGGGGGCAGTGAGGGATGGACCACCATTTGTTTGTGAACCATTGGAGGGGGTGCACCGGGTGGAGGGAATGAGATGAGGGGGCCATACAGGTCAGTTGGATTTGTGCATAGACGGCCCAAGGAATATCATTTCCAAGAAGGAGACGCATTATAAATTTGAAGATGAGAGTTTTCATCTCTTCCTCCGGATCGATGATTTCTAGGCCGCCTTGATTTGTGGGTTGTATTATAGTGTTCCAAGCCACTCTCTTTATTGCGTGGCTGTCATCGTGATTATTTTTCCACAAGCAGGCTAATGCTACCTGTTTGAGTTTTGAGATCTGTTTATGGTTGAGTTGCCAAAAGGCAACCTTGTACCATATAGAAGCGAAGATGGCATTGTTAATGGCCAGAACTCTCCCTACTAACGATGTATGTTTAGCATCCCAGTGAGTGAACTTTTGGATGGCAAGCTTTATAAGGGCCGCACCGTGATTTGGGGGTGGGCCCATAGCAGTAAGGTTCACCCCCAACACTTTGATTGCAGTCTCCTTGTGTCTCCATGCCACTTGGTGTTCAGACGGAGGCTGACCGCCCATAGGATCGAGCCACTAGCCTTCGATTTTTGAGCCCCAATTAACTTTCATATCCAAGGCAATCTCAAATAGATGAATGGTGTGAGCTAATGCCTGAAAGCTCTCGTAATTTGCTTTGAAGAGCACAGTGAGATCGTCAGCAAATAAAGACGTGACTGGGATGAGGTGGTAGGGTATTTCTAGCACTTGAATACACTGAATTAAAGTATTCGTTCTGATTATGGAAGCCAAAGCCTCCATAACGAGAACGAAAAGCATGGGGGCAATTGGGTCGCCTTGTTGCACCGAACGCTGGAGTTTGAATGGCGGGGCCAGGTGGCCATTGAGGGAGATGCTGGTAAACCTGAACGGTGAAATCCCTGCCTGCAGTGAATATATAACCCATCCTGTACATCTGTGGGGGCTGCGAAAGTCATTAGAATTGGACGCCCCATTACGTCTTTTTTTTTTTTTTTTTTTTTTTTTATGAAGGATCAAATACGGCTCTTCTTAGCATTGTGAAGCAGAATTTAAAAAAAAAAAAAAGCTATGCTTTCATAGTTTCTTTTCTTTTTTATTTTTTTTTTTTTTTTTTTTTTTTTTGTTAGTCTTGCTAAGCACGAGCGGTTAAAAAAAAGAAAAGAAGAGAGGACTGTTCCAAGCACGAGCTGAGAGAGGGCTGTTCTTACAGGGGTGCCCGAGTGGCGCCAAAGTTTGTGATCGATGATGAATTTCGAAAAGCCCATTACGAAAAGCCCATGTTCCTAGACCCCATTTTTTTGCCCTTTTGCCCCTTCGAAAGTGGCTTGGTCTCACACGACGGTAGCACCAGCGGTAAGCGTGCGGTAATCCTTCCGTAGGCTACGTAAGGGTATGGCCATACAACACGGAAGGATCTGTAGTGCTGCGCTGTAGTTGTCCCCCACCGGTAAATTGGGACTTCATGCCACGTGAACCAAGGGGGGGGGCAATGCGGAGCTCATGCGATATCGGCGTCCTTGGCCGGTAGCCTGCGTTCCCTGCGCCTTGGCGGCATGCAGTTCGCTGCATGATCCCAAGCGGGGCCAGGCGGGGCCCGCGGAAGAGGAGGTAACCCAGCAAGCTCTCCCTTTTGCGTGCGCAGGGAATACGTGAAAGACAGTGACAGCCATAGCCACGACTTGCTCCAACCGGTGTTTGCGGATGGGAATACACTCCTTGAATTTGGATTTATTTAACTAAGTAATCGGATAGATTGACAGGTAGAGAGAGATAGATAGATAGATAGATAGATAAAGAGAGAGAGAGAGAGAGAGAGAGAGAGAGAGAGAGAGAGAGAGAGAGAGATCCAAGGAAGGCAGGAAGTGGCCCATGCTGAGGAGGACAAGAAGGTGTAGAGTTATAGGGACATTTTATGCACTGCACCGCCTTCTTTACTGAGCACAAGGTTGAGAAATGGCGAGTGTCGCCGCCGCCATCGATAGGGCTGCGCATGTGAACGTTGATGCTTCTCTCTACTGGAACTCCCACTCTGAACTCTTCGAGTACATTGAGAAATATGGACAAGAGCCGAGGGAAGACGCCGGCCAAGACTTGTCAGAAGAAGCAGAACATCGGCAAGAATCGCGAGCGAAGCAATTTGTATGTTTACCGCTCTCTTTCTCTCTTCACCTCCCCCAAGTCAGAAAGAGAGTACTCTCTCTCTCTCTCTGCTCTCTCTCTCTCTCTCTCTCTCCCCCTCCGACGTTCCATCTTCTTCATTTCTAATGCGCTTTCTCGCGCTTTCTCGCGCTTTCTCGCGCTTCCTCCACCCTTTCGATCGGTCCCGCATGTCAATTTTTTCTCACTGCTTTTGTCGTAACCTGGCTCGTTTTCGTGTCCCTATTCCTTAATGGGTGGTGGTTCGCTTCCGTCAGCTTTCAAAATATATCCTTCGGCTTTCATCAGCGCTGGAAGAAATCTATCTTTCTCCGCCGCCCCTCTCGTTCCGCTCCCTTTCTTCCCCCCATCCGGGGGCGGGCCCTCTCACTTCCCCTCGTTCCCTACCTCCTTCTGTGTCTCTGTCCCTTTCTCTCTCTCCTTCCTTCCTTTCCAATTCCTCCTTGCGAGCGGCCCATCCCTCTTTTCTTTTCTCCAGTCTTCTCGCTTCCTTCTCTTTTTTTTTGGTTCCAATTCTTCTTTAGCATCTTCATCCCCTTCATTCTCTTACTTCGGAGCCCCCTTCTTGGCCGTTGCCTTCCCCGCGCTGCGTGTCCATCCCCTGCGGAACAGAAGAGATTCACGGGTTGAAAACCCTAGTAGGACCACACAACGATTATGGAAGTGGACTTTCACCTCAGATAGAAGAACAACACGTTCGTAAGATGGGCAGAATGCCTAGCTCCCCATTCAAATTCTCCCTTTGACTATCCCGACTCGAAGCTTCAAAAGCTTTTCAAAAAGTAAAAAAGGGGAAAAAAGGGGGAAAAAGGGGAAAAAAGGGGAAAAAAGAATGCCAGCCTAGCTCGGTTGCTCGCGCTCGCATGTGATCTTCTTCTTCTTCTTCTTCTTCTTCTTCTTTGGAATTTCTGTCGAAGTAAGCACGAAGGACAGTCTATGGCCTCTATTTATCACTATTCTTCTTCTACTGGGTACACCGGGTCGCGGGGAAAAACGAGTACCCGTGCTGCGGTGGGGTTAAGTGCCCATCGTGGGGCTTAACTTTCACCCCAGTCTACTTAGCCGTTTGGTTGAGTGTTTGTCTTCTGAGCGGGAGGGTGTGTTCGATTCTTGGGATCGGCACGAGAAGCGTAAGATTCAATTCAATTCTTCTTCTTCTTCTTTGCTTTTTGTCGGTACCTCCGGTCGATTTAGCTGGATGGTGAGAGTGAAGGGGGCGTGTAAGGCGAGAGGCTAGTGGAAGCCGCTCTCTATTTCTCGCTCGCTCGCGCGCGCATTTGCTTTTCTTCTTCGTCCGTCCTCTTCTCCTTCTTCTTCTTCGTCTTCTTCTTCTTCGTCTTCTTCTTCTTCTTCTTCTTCTTCTTCTTTGCTCTTCGTTGGTGCCTCACCGCTCGCTCGATTAGCTGGATGGTGTGAGTGGATGGGGGCGTGTAACGCGAGAGAGGCTAGCGGAAGCCGCTCTGTGCAGACTTGAGCGCAGCCGCCGGTTGAAAGGCCTACCTTTTTCCCCCGAATACAACGTACGGTCATTGCTGCTGTATTTAGACCGGAAGATACCTCAAAATGCAGCTATATAATGACCCTACGTTCTATTCGAGGGAAAAAGATAGGGACCGTGCGAGGGATGAACTAAGGAGGCTATGGTCGACCTATTCAGCGCACGATTTGCTACTCTTTTTTTTTTCTTCTTTTCCCCCCGTTAATTTGCTTTCTTTACCTTGTTTTTTTTTCTGTTTTTGGTGTCTTTTCCTGCTCGTTGGTCTCTTCTTTTTTTTCTTCCTGTTCGTTGATTTCCTGTTCTTGCCCTTCTTCTTTGGTCTATCGGTATAAACCCCTCGTCTCCTTCCTTCCTTCGCCGACTATCTTCGCTGCCGCCATCTCCCATCAGATCAACGTAGTAACTCTTGGTTAGTAGTAGTACTAACCAAGAGTTAAGGAGGGCCCCGATCAACTTAACTCTTGGTTAAGGAGGGCCCCGATCAACTTAGTAACTCTTGGTTAAGGAGGGCCCCGATCAACTTAGTAACTCTTGGTTAGTACCTCGAGAGGCGCAATATTGGATTCTGGCTATTGAGGGGGCACACGAAGTGTAGAACCTTTTTTTTGGACCCAGATCTAGACGGAATTGCAGTGAGATACATTCTGATGGCCAGCCATAATCACAGTCAGATGCATGCAGAAAAGAAGTCCTAGTGTGAGTACGCTCTCAGAGCTTTGCCACAAGTGGGTACTGCGGCGAATCCCACCCATTGGAACTGCCGCTAGTCCAGTTTGCTACAGATGATGATGATTATGGTGATGATTATGATTATTATTATTATGATGATGATGATTATGGTGATGATTATGGTGATGATTATGATTATTATTATGATTTTGACGAGGATTATGGTGATGATTATGATTATTATGATGATGATGATTATGATGATTATTATTATGATGATGATGATGATGATGATGTAATAACTTGAGTGGGTACAAAATCCTAGGATCAGAATGGTCGAAACATAGCGTAATAATCTGAAACGTTCCTGTGCTGGATGGCCGATCATGGCCTCGAAGGGAGGGGAGGTTGGGAGGTG